ACAAAAGTAATTTCATTTTATTAATTGGGAACGACCCGATTACAATATATTGCGGCAAAAATCGCTGCCCCATGAACCACCCACGCGGCGACGGCAACCGCGCCGACCTACCCAACCCTTGCCATTCCACGGTCGGGGTCGTGCAGTTCGCTGATAAGCATGGGGAGACCCGAGCGGCGCAAAGGGACAGGCAGGGGTGACTCCACAACAGCAATGATGATGAGGGGTGGAGCAAAGGGATAGGCTCCGCCTTCGCCCTCATCCACTCCTCCACCGGGCTCCAACTTCGAGTCGGACGGTCACCATTAAGGCGACCAGGGTGCTCTTCCTCTAATAAAAGAGGGAAGCCCCAGCGATATATATCGTTGGGATTCTTTCACCCTCCAGAGGAAGACGGTGGGGAAAAAGCACGGCGGCACAGGCGGTCAGGGAAGTGTCGAAGATGGCAACACATGAGGAAAGGACAATGTCCCTCGATGTTGACCCTCACCCCCCTCCGCGTGATGCCGTCGCCTTCTCTTCACTGGAATCCTTCCACCCTCATGGGAGTGATCGCCCGGCGGAGGAAGCCAGGCTCACTCGAAGGGAAGCATCGCACTTCATTGTCGTCGTAGCCGCCAGAAGTTGGATCTAAGAAGAAGAGAAGAAGACGGAGGAGGGATTGAAGGTGCCGTGTCCCCAGGGCCCCTCTTTATAGCACCAGTTGATGCACTAAGGATGGCTCTGAGCCCTCCAATCAGCCATCGATGGCTAAAAGAGGCATTAGGGTACCTACCAGGTGTCCCTTCAATCCTGCAATGCGCCTTAGAGCGGTTGCATGATGGTGACCATGCAGTAAAGACGAAGTCAGGAAGGCACTAACAACGAGTCAAGTCCTCACTCCACTTTCCATCAAGCATGCCGCTCGCTCTGTGCACGCTTCCTCATGGGACTTGAGGGCATCCGACTCCCCTTGGGCCCACCAGTCACCATCAATGGCCTAGATCCATGCGCACCAAGTGCTACGGCTCCTCCGCTAGATCTGCTCCATGTGACCGGACGTCCCATCTCCCAAACGAAGTGGGACAGCATGGGAGCGCATGCCTTAACTCCTCCACCAGGCATGATGGCCTAGACGCCATCAAACCGCCTGTAGGGCGAGACGTGCCCAGAAGCTGCCACGCCCGCTGACAAGGAGGCCCCATGATAGCCTCGAGGGCTACGTCAGCTCCCCAGACGGAGCAGCTAGACCCCTCGATCGATGGGGGCTTGGGCGGTGCAACCCCAAAACCAACCAACTCCCCGGAGTTGGGTCAGGGACCGCTGAGCGATGGACCCAATGAGGGTCACCCAAGCTTGGAACGCGCTACCCATGCCCCGACCTATGGCCACAAAAGGTCGGCCCAAGAAGGCTATCCCAAGAGGATCGGGGCCTGCTATCAAAGCCCCTAGAAGGGTGTGGTGCTCCTAGTGATCAGGTGGCCCTGAGCCAGAGCCCAGACGCTCTCGATCACCCGACCCACGACAGGTCCTGACCGAAACGTAGGGTGCCCCGAGACCGAAAGTTGGTAACTCCTAGACGAGTGCACTGAACCCTCGCTCAGGCCATAGACCTATGCACATGGGAATAGAGAAGGGGTCAGCACCACTACCACTTGGCCTCGATAGCCAAGCGCCCCCTATCACACTAAGGGCAATGCCCTCACGCAGGGCAACACACTCCCGTCAGCAAAAACCGTCTCCGCCATGGCTAGTTCGGTCACCAGAGGATCGAATTCAGCCCTTCGTCGCCATCACGATTCAGGCCAAGTGAGGCCACGAAGGGCTCGGGGGCTCCTGATGAGATCCTAACATATGGGTATGCTAAACCTCGGGATCAATGGTTCCCAATCGAAGGGACCCCCTGATCGATCCCTACAGGATCGTCGGGGGCTCGGGGGCTATACCCATCGGGTACGCTCACGCGCACCCTCCGATATTGGGCACGGCGCAGCCCCCGCACAGGGCTCAGGGGCTTGCCCGGGCTTCAGGCTCCCAACCGACGACACGCCCGAGCTCGGACCATGGCTCCTGCCTAGCTTGCGATGCCAGCCAAGGCCCGGGCGCAAGAAGACAAGCCTTGAGCCATTGAAGCTCGAGGGCTCCAGGACGCCGCGCCCTGGGCGTGGCCCTGCCGGCCACTTCCGCGATAGGGTCACGCACGGGGCGTGACACAAGACGACAAGCTTCCCATGGCCTCCAGGGGCTAGGCGGCTCCCGAGCCAGTGCGTCAGCCCCTGGAGCCGACCTCCTTCGCCACCAAGAAGACTCCAGAAGGTCCACATGGGGGAGGCCGGTCCAAGTCGACACAGCCTGACACGTAGAGTGTCATAACAGAGCAGCCGGACGACGCCCAAGGCTTCTTCGGTTCCACGACACCGCCATGGTCCACAGAGCGCCGCTGCAAGGCCCTCCTATCTTGTTATATAAGGGATAAGGTCAGACCTAGAGGGGGGAGGACGATCCAAGACAGATCATTCCATTCCATTCAATCTGCTCCTGCTTAGCACCGAGGGCAAGGGAACCCAGAGAGAGGGGCACCGAGAGCTCCTCCACCGCATCACGTCATCTTCCTCCTCTCCAACGAGGGGAAGGCTCCATCGGCAGCAAGGCGACCTAAGGATTAGCACCGAGCTAACCCCTACCAAATCTCTCTCTACACTCTGCTGTAACCCCCCGATTTTGGGTGCTCTTAACTATAAGGATCATCAGCTGTTGGACGTAGGGCATTGATTGGCCCAAACCAGGATAAACCGTTGTGTCCTCTCTATGATTCTTGTATTTCGCAGTCCACCTGAGCCACCGGGGACCCGTACTCTGACACTGACTTGAACAACTATGCTTGCCGCGGTTCCAACCCCGCGATAGGTGGCTGCCTTCTGTTGGTCCTTATGGCTCACTAGAAATGATAGTGTTTTTGATAAGTGCAATCCTAAAACATTTTTGCAGGTCTTATTCAAAGGAATATATTGGTTCCAGTTCTGGGGTCAATTGCAGCGAAGTGAAGAAAAGAAAGAATGTATCTACAAAGCTTGCCAGACCCTAAAGACATCGGCTTTGGCATTTTTTCCTCTTATGGATGGCCCATTATGTCTAGGATTGCGAATTGATTTTCTGTCTTTTTTTTGTGAGTCTGCTTTAAACGTAAGTGTGAGAACCTTTTGTAATAATTTGGTCTGATTCCTCACCTTTGAGCAAGGATGAAGCTGGATGTTTATTCCATTATTAAAAAATGTTCATCTAGGACGTGTAATTTAGTATTGAGTGTAATCGATGTTGATTGTGGCATTCTAAAGAGATTTGAACATACATGAATGAGTCAATGATGTGATAAAATTCATACTCGCTCCGGTTTCCTAAAGAATGTCGTTTTGATGTTGTCTTAAGTCAAACACTTTAAACTTTGACTACAAATATTTTTTTTGGGTTGAGTTTGAAAATATGAAAGTGATGTAAGTAAATTCTTCTCGAAATATAGTTTCATAAAAATATATTTTAACTATATTTTATAGCAAAAAGTAATGGGCACAGGCAAACCCAATTTGCAAATTCTGCTACACCAGGCAGGAATCACACTCACATATGATTGCCAACTGTTCATTCGCAAAACTGATTTGGCAAGGAGTGGAAGGCTGGTCTGGAAAACAGGAGGTGCAACTGAACCAAAAATGTAACAAAGGTCAGTGACTGGGTGGACTAAGCTGAACCAGGAAGAGGCGACGCACAAAACCAGCGAGCAACAATCATCATCTACACAGCTTGAAATATGTGGAAAGAAAGACGCAAAAGAGTGTTTGAGAACAGAGCGCGAACTGCAGAATAGCTGCTTGCGGCAATCAGAGAAGACTTCCAGGCAGTTCAGAAGGCATGGGAGGACTAAGCCGCAGATGTGGATTTTTTTTCTCTTGTCCCTCTTTTGCCTCCCTTACTTTTGTTCGGCTACCTATTTAGCCTGCTTCTTTTGCTATTCTTTTTTCCTGTTTACTGTTAAACTCTCTGTACATATTGATACTCCTATCTACTAAATGAAAAGGCAGAGCACCTGTCATTGATGCCAAAAAAAAAGGACCATAGCATCTCATGCGTTAGATGATTATGCATGGACATGTGTTCCTAACTTTTCTTTCTCTCTTTTGGAAATAGCGGCCAAATAGCTCACACATATATAGATACATCACATGCAACTTCACAAAGAACCACACATACACGGTTCACTAGACATAACACGACGAAGAAGCAACTCGAGAGGACAAAAGAAACAAACCATTCGCAGCAAAGGGCATCAAACCGTATATGTTTATTTTGGACACCAGCAGACTGGACCCAAATTAAGGCTTTGTTTGGATACACGTGCATCAAACAAGGCCTAAAGTGGCCTTCATTCTCTTCAATTGCCTTGGGCAACGGCTGCGGCGGCGGCGGCTTGGGCTCGCCTCGTCTTGGTGAGCTCGACCAGCTTCTCAACGTCTGGCATGACCGCCTTGGCAGCATCCAGCTCGCAGAAGCGCTCCAGCCATGCCGCCAAGAGCGGGGTCTTCCTAGCGTTGAACAGCTTCAGTCCATATAGCTTCTCGAGGGCGTGAATCCAGGCGACGAACCCTCCTAGCGCGACGTCGACGTACCCGACGCTGTCGCCCCTGAAGAAGGGCTTCCCCTTGGAACACTCGCTCAGGGCTCCCTCCAGCGTTGCCGCCACGGCGAATGACTGCCTCGTCCCCTCCGCCTTCTGCTCATCCGTCTTGCCCCTGAACACCATCATCCACGAGCTGAGGAGCTGCACACGCACAATCACACACGCGTCAGGATTTATAACAAATTAGTCAGGGATAACACGAGACTCTACCGATGGTTTTTGCGGCTGATAAGCCGGCTACGGCTGTTTTGTTGTAAAAGAAAAACACTATATCATACCTGATAAGCCGGGCTGACATGCTCAAACAAACAGGGTGTATGATTTGACGTGGTGTGGTGTTGGTATGTACCTTCTCGTCAATGTAGGAGGCCCAGAAACGAGCAACAGTGCGTTCATGGGGCTCAGAAGGGAGGAGGGAGGGGCCGGCGTCAGCAAACGCCTCCTCGAGGTACTGAATGATGATCATGGACTCACATACAGGCTTGCCGTTGTGGATGAGTACGGGCACCTTCTTGTGCACAGGGTTGGACTTGAGGAGGAGCTCGCTCTTGTTGTTGAGGAGATCCTTCTCCTCGATGTACTCGTAGCTCAAGCCTTTGAAGCTTAGCGCAAGTTTCACTCGCAGCACAAACGGGCTCGCGAACGAGCCTAGAAGCTTCAGCTGATTGTTTTGTCCGGCCATTTCAAGCAGAACTTGTTCTACGCTCGTGTGAAGGATTGGACCTTCCTATGATAGGTTTTATTCTTGTGTTTCCTTGTTCTTGGCGGATGGAAAACGAGGAGAGCTGGCATATATAGAGTTTGATATGTGGTGTGCGTGGAAAATTCATCGATCATATCCATGACGCTACATCTGGAATCAGCTAGAAATTACAGAAATGAAAAAATTAAAACATGTTTGAAGAACGATGATGTAAAAAAAAAACTCTGACCCGCGGGGTAAGACAGGCCCAGACATTGTGCTTAAGAAGAAGATCTTCTCACGTAGGTCGAGAAAATCTCCAAACCTCTGTCTCACTCATACACAGCAGCACCGCAGCTTTCATGAGACTAAGATGGCCTTAGACCTGTGGCGTGGGCAGACGAGGGGATTTTTTCAATGCGTAGATAAACTACGTCTCCTCCGGTCAATAAATCCGTCTCCTTTGAGTTTCGAACTCTGGCCGGTAGAGCGCAAAGCGCACAGCTAGCGTTCGCTTGCGAAGAACCATGATGGAGACGTGTTAGTGCAAAATATAGATTCAAATGAAAGAACCTAGCTAGTACGTGTGTCGTACTATCTGCTTGTGTTTAGTAAAATGTTCCTTACAGTCAATGCTTAATTAGATGACGACGGTACAAATACTAAAGTTTGGGAGTCGTCATGTTTGACTTGACCTGTTTGTTTGCTACTAGAACATTGTCCTGTGCGTAGGTGTTACTAGTTCCTGTAGGTTTTCCCCTGTTCTTGGCACAGAAAGCTAGCAGACGAGGAGAGGCCGGCAGCAAGCTAGGGAGTTGCAGAAATCAAGTCAAGAATTTGAAAACATGTTTGGATAACGACGATGAAGACATGTTAAATGAACCTAGCTACTGTATGTTCCACGCAATCAATGCTTAGAAAAATACTCCTCGACCTATTACACATTTTTTTTACCCGTGAGTTAAGTTAAAACTATACCTTCTATTCAAAATTCTCCTTTTAGATTTTATTAAAAATTTGATTCTAGGCACATGGTTACTACAAATAACATAAATCAATGTTTCATCATGTCGAGCAGCTTAAAATGTTAAATTTCCGGTATCTAAAAACTGTGTTATAGTTTTTTAAAGAAAACTGTAGGTGCGGATATGTTGTATTGTTTAGTCAAAATGTATAAATATCTCTATAAAATTTGCGACTTACATAATTTATTGTAACATGTATTAATATAATTTAAAATAAATTATTGGTATTTTCGTACATGATTCCTTAAGGGTTACTTAGATTATCTATTGCAATGGCAGATGTGTGTGGTTTTAGATGTTCACTTAGAAAGTTATAATGTCTATGTTCTCTTTCATAGTGGCAGGTGTGTTAGTAATTTAGAGATAGATTCTGGGGTCAATATTTGTTGTTTTGATAATAGTGGAAGACGGTAGTTTTTTTATAAGAAGTAATAGATTAATGATAATGATATGATGAGGACGTCCCCCCTACCTCTACCCGCGCCATGCCTCTACCTTTACCCTGCCCAAGCCAGTACCTGTACCCAACATGCCCGCGCCTTTACCCGGTCCCTGACACAACTGCGCACGCATGTGTGCCTTATCACCCACCACTCCTTTCTCTCTCTTGCCTCCAACGCTACTCCCTCCCTGACCATTTTCTACTTTTACATTTGAATACGAAAACGAAAGCGAAAGCGGCAAAGCCAGAAATGAAAACGAACATGAATTTATGGAATTTCGAGAATTTCGAAAACGAACTAATTCGAACGAAATTATGTCGAACACGGTCCGAATACAAAATATCAATACAGAATATTGACTCGGAGGACCAGGTTCATAACAATTAAAAGTGTACGAGACAAAGTGCATAACAATTAACAAATCCTACTACTTTCATATAAAAAGTATCTCCATTGGAACCAAATAAGAATTAAGAAAGATGATTTTTCTAAGGCAACAGGTGCTTGTGCGCGATTAATATATTGCTGAAACTTTGTTTAATTTTTTTTAATATCTTAAAAACCTTAATGAAAAAACTAAAACCTAGAAAGTTATAGATCTCATCGAGAGCTACAATTTTCATATAAAAATCATCTTCATCTCAGATCCTATAAAAAAAATACAAATTTTCTAAGGCTGGACTTCTAGTGGGCCAAATTCGTGATATTCTGAATTAAAAGTAGAAAAGTAGAAAATGGTCCGAAAACGTCTAAACCGTTTTTGTTCCGTTTTTGAATTTGGTGTTCCGTATTTTGAACTGAATTCAAATTTGTTCAAAAATATGACTTCGATCGGGTCAAATGTAGAAAATGATGTGGTTCGATACGGGATATTTCCGTACCGTTTTCATCCCTACTGCCTCCCCCCTCTCTCTTTTAGAGGTGCGGGCGAGCGTCTCGGCACGGCGCTGCAACGGCCTTGGCGTGAGTGGGCCACGACGAGGAGGCCCGAGAGGCCTCGACATGGCGGTGCAACGGCGCCGGTGGCCTCGGTCACGGGTGGATCAGCGCGGCAAGGCCAACACGAGTGGCTCCCTAGCAGATCTGGCTCCCTCTCCCAGCCATGCGTGCGCAACCTCCTTGTCACGTCTTTCTTGTCGCGTCGCGCAGCCGCTGCCGTCGGACCACTACGTATGATAAATTCCACACGCCGACGAGCCTGCATTCTCCCAAGCAGCATGGAGATATTGTGCTGCGCTGAAAGTGCATGTTGCAAGCATATGTTTCAAGCATTTTAGATCTTTCAAAGGTATGTTGCAAGTGTATGTTTCAAGTGTTTCAGATGTTTGATATGGAGGTTGGAAAAGTAGATCGGGATGTTGCATATGTTGCAAGTGTTTCGTATGAATATTGCAAGTATTTTCACAATGTTTCATCTGTTTCAGACGTATCTTTGCAAGCGTTTTGATCTGGATGTTGCATATATTTCACACATATGTGGCAAGAGCATGTTCTAAATGTTTTAGTCTTATATTGCAGCAAGTCTTTTCATGTTCCAAGCTGTAAGTGTTTATCTGGACGTTCCATATGTTGCAATAGCTATAAATGTATGTTGCAAGTGTATGTTTCAAATGTTTTAGCTGTTTTTAGAAGTATGTTACAAGTGTTTTATCCGTATGTTGCTTATGTTGCAGTGGCTATACACATATGTTGCAAGCGTATGTGTGGACGGTGAAAAGTGATGGACCCGCCGCTGAAGAACACAGCAAGTCGAGAGAAACCGCGTGGAGCATATCTCGAGCTCTCCCCGCACTTAGGAGGACACCAGACCAGATGGTCATGACCTAGGGCGTGCTAGTCAATTTGACCTCACAATTGACAAGAAGACAAGATTGATCAGTAAAAAGAGCATATCGGCAATTATCAGTTACTCAGTTGCATAGATCTAAACAGTCGATGATCATGGAAACATGCAAAAAAGGTGTAAGAAGTAGACGTGGAAGCATTAAATGAGAAATATACTAGCTTTTATCCAGGACAAAAATAAGTAAAAAGCATGTGAATAGCCAATATATTCTCAACGTACGGGCTATCGACTAAAATAGCCGATTCCAATGAAAGTAAAGTCGTAGCATGCAAGCACTCAACCGTTGAACGTGGATATGTCCATACACTTATCAGATCCAATCTGCCACCTCTAACAGTGGGGATACGAGCCGGACCGATGCAACCGTGATAGAGATAACAAATTAAACCCTCAAAGCTTACGAATCTATACGTGCTTAACGATGAATATTGATTACTGCACTCTGGACAGTTACGTTTTGTAGGCAATTTCAAACCTTCGTTCCAACATTGCTTGAAGAAAGGACAGTTCTAATGTAACTTAGCTTGTTCTCTTTCATACCTTTCTTCTTCGCACCGATGCTCATATTCTTCTTCTTCAAGTCAGCGTTGGTAGTCCTTCTCCTTCTGGAGTTGCCATTTATTCAACAAGATTCTGGAAGTCACACGAGGACGCATAACACCAGCTTTGGATATCTCACCTTGTTCATATAAGCTCTTTTGTTGATCGCGTTGCTGCTTAGCCTTCTTATACTCATCAGCCAATTCATCAGCGTTCATGCCTGCAATTTTGTTGCCTCGGCTATCCTTGAATATGAGTTTGAGAGCCTTGTACTTGTAGCTGTTGACCCTGTGCCTAAGGCTGTTGTCCTTAAACCTGAGATTGTTGTCCCTAAGCCTGAAGCTGCTGAAGTTGTTTTGCGTTATAATTATAAGGATTCTGGTACCCAGGATGTGGCAAAAGTTCATATGTGCTGGCATCAGAAACCAGGTGATATGCTTCTAGATAGTTGATCTGAGCATTGTGAGTCGCATATCCTTGCAATCGACTATTGAAGTAGTTAGGATCAATATTCTTGATGATCCTCTGCACTGATGGAGCAATTTTTTGGGCTGACTGAGGTGTTTGATAGGAAATATTGAATCTTCCCTGAGCCGGCCATTGTGCAACATGCTGAATAGCTGGAGAGGTTGGCTTCTGGACTGAATAAACTAGGTTTTGTCTAGTAGGATGATTCGTCTACGTGGTAGGGGCACTTGGTGACTACTGTGCTGGCGGTTGCCCCCCTGTCATCTGGCCTTGCCCCCCTACGGTTGGCAGGGCTTGACTTTGGCCCCTGCTATTGGCAGGGTTTGATCTTGAGCTTGTCCTCCTAGAAGCTGCTGTATTGGTGGCTGTTGGAACTACCCATCATTCGGCTGCTGACTAGAACCAAGTACGTTTCTTTCCACAACCGAAGGATTAAAGCCATTGAAGTATGCTGGCCCCACTTGATTAACTAGAGCTCCAAAGAAAACTTCCTTCAAAACATTGCCAATCGTGTTAGCCAACACCTTATTGTGGTTTGTAAAGGCTTCGTGAATAGTCTTGTGAACCAAATGGGCAGTAGTTCTTGCTTCAACATCTTCACTTTGTCCATGCAGGAGGACGCTTGGCAGGAGAGTCTTCTAGATGACTAAATTGCGCGTCCTGCTGTAAGACAGCAGA